TAAGATTTTCATTCTTCTATTCATTTTCAACCACACATTTTTCAATAAAATAATATTTTTTATCAAATCAATAATTTTTCCTTCTTTTTCAACCACACATTCTCTATCAATCTATTATTTCAAAATACATTATTTCACAATAATGTGGCTCAAACACACCCCTAATAATAGAAAGGGAAAATTGCAGTAGCAGTTCCAATATTTTTTTCATTTTTTACAGAATTCTAACTTTTTTTTTTGTGCTAGTGGAGGTCTCAAATCTTTCAAAAATATGCACCGGAGGTCCAAATTGATGGTTTCCATCTATCTGACCGTTAGTTGACCAAACAAATTAATTTTGATCAATTTTAGTAAAGGTAAAATGGTAACTTTACATATTTAACATAAAACAATTAAAAAGAAAAAGAAAAGAAAAGCCAAGCCACCACCGCGAGCACACTGCCATTTCTCTTGCCACTGCCTCTGTCCTGGCTTACTGCCGGTACCACCAACTATAGCACACTGTCGGCATCTTGGTTGTACAGTAGAGCATCAATTCTTGGTAAATGCAAGAAAATTAGCTCTGCTTCAACTGAGATCTTCATTAGGGTTGAGGGCGAAATGGTGGCCCAAAAATCCGACCTAGGTCAAATTGGGGAAGACCTATATGTTCATTGGAGGCATCATGAAAAGTAGGTGCTGGTGGTGGTTGTCGCGATCATGGATCCCACCACTGGTGCTAGAAAAGTCATTTGAAAGTCACAATGGTCGTGTTTGAAGATGTAGGTTGCTGGTTTTGTTTCTGTGCGTTTAAGAATGATTGATGACCATGGACAGGGGCGCCTTGATATGTATAATTAATTACCTGGAATGTTGGGCATGACATGAGTGTTGCCAAAATTGGAGATTTCGACAGTTTTTAGGGACTTAAGCAGTTTGTTTTGGCCCAATTTTCGGCAAGTTCAGGTGGGTTCGAGGCAGGGCGTTGGGTGGAAGTTGTAGAGGGTAATAAGTAGGGGTGTCTAAAAGTCCCGAACCGAACCCGAA